CTGGGGCTGGGAGGAGAGGGCCTGGGGCTGGGGCTGGGAGGAGAGGGCCTGGGGCTGAGAGGAGAGAGCCTGTGGCAGAGAGGAGAGGGCCTGGGGCTGGGGTGGGGTGGGGTTAAGCCTGGGCAATGTGGTTACTGTGTCCTTATGTGTTTCTCAGATGAGGGAGACACAGACAGAAGCTTCGATGGACAGGGAGGCTCTCTCTGAGTCCGTGAAGAGCTGTGAGTATTTGGACCTCTGCAAGATTGGGGATGAATCAGTGTGGAATATGATTCAGAACAAAGTGGTTCCAAACCGGAGGCCCATCATGCTGGTTTTATTGCAGCCTATCCCAGTATATTAGTCTGCTCTCTCAGCACAGTCCCTGAGCTTCACGCATGTACAGTACAAGTCATCAGCAGGCTCCGGGTGTAAACAGGCTCGAAGAAGCGCCTCCTGTTGCCAGTGCGAGCTGATGATGGAGGGGGTGTGTAAAATCTGGTCAGAACAGTCCTGGCATGTGGCTTCCTGCAGTTACTCCTCCAGACTGTTTGTCCTTTTTTAAGGATGTTTTATTAATGATAGTACTGTAGGTTATTTAGCTTTTATTACAATTTTCTAGATCTTGAAATCAACAAATTCTTTATGTGAACGTCACCTGTTGCGCTATTTACACTGCAGAGTTGTTTCCGCTGAGAGAACATTTTTAATAATCAACTGGCGCTCTCATAGCTGGTATCATGAGGGAGATCTGAATTTACCTACACCTACAGATGTTTCACCCCAAATAAACAAAAACAAAAAAATAAAATATATTTAATGTACAAAAAATGTAATTTGTGCTCCTGAAGACTGCAAGTATTGACCTTTCTCTTGGACTAAGAACTTCTAAGTCAAAATTTCTTTTGAGATCAGATAGCAGTGTTTTGTCAGGTATATGGTACCTTGTCTTCATTGGGTAGCTCTAATCCTCGAGTTTCATTATTTCATTCAGCTTCAGAGCTTTAGGGCTTAATTAAGTTATGACAAGACTCTAGAGCAGCTGATTTCCTGGTGTCAATCAGGTGCTGATTGAGAGGACGTAAAAGCTGCCAGTGCAGGAGTAGAGCTACAACTCTCTGGCTGTGGTCATTACTATAGAAAACCAGTGAGATCTGTTGTCACCTAGTGTTTATAATACCATTCATGAGTGTCACTGGCTGGTATAAATGATCTAAGTGAGAAATTCTACCAGTTCTGTGATGCCTGTATTACGAGAGATTGACAGCTAGTTTAATGCCATTACATTAATACATACAGTCAGATTCAGACTCGGGTTCAGTAGAGCCCTATGTTATTTGCACCAAAGGTGTGATCATTAATTCGGCTTAGAGTCCCTGAGCTTTAAAAATGAGGCCTTCTAGCCCCGCTCTGGTCAGAAGATCAGAGCCTTCCCCAGCTGTGTAGCCATCCAATAAATTTCACCTTGTGAAAGTGAATCTGG